TTTGCAATTGTGTGTTCTGTATCCCCTTCTTTGCATATGAAATGGAATCCACTGCCATGGATCCCGTACAAGCTGGCCACTTGAACCAAAGGTGCCGTTGACAAATTTCATTCTATTCCAAAGCAATGGTGGCACCCGGCATCCTTGGCAAATAACCCCAGTCCTTGACAAAATTCAGTCTGACTCTTGTCTTCCTTTTGTCCTTGCATGCTGTGAGTGTGATTGGACCTGATTGTATTAAATGTCTGCAGTTGGCCCAGACTGCTGCAAGTGTTTGTGATTGGCCCTGTTAGTGGTGCCTGTATCTGGGCAGACCATTGGATGCAGTGCTGTGGGAAGAGGAAGCTTCCGGACATTCAGGTGGCCAAGAACAGAGCAGTATGGGCAAGCAAACACACCCCCGCCTTATCCATATCCCCGCCCACAGGAGAATAATCATGGTATCACTGTCACATTAAATTGGTTCACAAGAAAAATCTTTTCAGCTATTTCAGAGCCCCCTGATTGCACTAGTGCACACCTGTAAGTCACCAGGAAAAGAGACCCTGTTTTGTCACTGGGGTAACTATGTAATACCAGAAAGACACAGCTTTGGCTAACTGGCAGGCTACATACAGCTGCATTGCTGTTCTAAATTCGTAACTGAGAACCAAAAAATGATGTCTATCCAGTTACTCAGGAGAGGGTCATAGTGAGCAGGACACTAGGAAGCACATGGAAAGCGGCAGGGATGGTAGGCTGTCATGGGGCAGAACGCAGTGGGGATTCCCTGTGCGAAATGGTGGTCCATCACGAGGCGGAACGCGCCGGGAACGCCCTGTACAGGACAGCGGTCCATCACGGGGTGGAACGCAGCAGGGACACCCGGTACGGGACTGTGGTCCATCACGAGGCGGAACGCCCCGGGGACGCCCTGTACGGGACTGTGGTCCATCACGAGGCGGAACGCCCCGGGGACGCCCTGTACGGGACAGCGGTCCATCACGGGGTGCAACGCAGCAGGGACACCCGGTACGGGACTGTGGTCCATCATGGGGCGGAACGCGGCGGGGACACCCGGTACGGGACTGTGGTCCATCATGGGGCGGAACGCGGCGGGGACACCCTGTACGGGACTGTGGTCCATCACGGGGCGGAACGCGGCGGGGACGCCCTGTACGGGACAGCGGTCCATCACGGGGTGGAACGCAGCAGGGACACCCGGTACGGGACTGTGGTCCAACACGAGGCGGAACGCGGCGGGGACACCCGGTACGGGACTGTGGTCCATCACGGGGTGGAACGCAGCAGGGACACCCGGTACGGGACTGTGGTCCATCACGAGGCGGAACGCGGCGAGGACGCCCTGTACGGGACAGCGGTCCATCACGGGGTGGAACGCAGCAGGGACACCCGGTACGGGACTGTGGTCCATCACATACATGGATGTGGGCTCAGGGGACACGGCCCTGGAGGGTCAGCTTACAGCATTGCCCACAGAGCCGGTGATTATAATTCCCCAGATAAGATTCCAGCATCACCGATAGATGGGGAAAATCCAAATGGAAAGCATGAGTAAATTATAAATGGCGCATGTCCAGGCACATAAAACTGCACAGCAGATTAAAGGAAGGCAGCCATCCAAGCGGCAAGATGTAAGGCTCTTTTACAGTGTGCGAGCATAAGTATTTAAGGCCTTATGGTGTACATTTAATAAGTGGTCTAGTATCGGCCATAAGCTAGAGGTCCCCAGATAAGCGACTCCGTCTCTGAAAGACTGATAGCACTGCACCATATTGTTTTCTGCAAGATGAATGTATCGCTCTTAAAAACATCCATCCTTCATTCCTAAGGCTGAAGCTTATCATTGGCGGATTCAGAGCTGTGCTGCCGAGAACGATTTCTTAATTACTTGAGATATGAGAGGAATCAGCTGAACTGCGACCTGTGAGCTGACCTTCCCATCATGCATGCAGTTCTCACCTCCCATTCTGTGGAATGACTCATTACTTCACTTGGATGACTTTTCCCATAGTGCAGAGTAACACGGTTATCTAGATAACAATTATCTAACTTTGCCTCCACAGTGTACCATACCAAAAAGCCCCAGATTTTATAAACTCAAACACAGGGAAAATGGAGACATACTGTTCGATTGACCTGCCAGTTGTAAAATAGCCTTAGCGGTCCTGTGTCCATTTCCCACAATGCACTGGTGCCCTGCCCAGGGTTAGGGTTAGACTTTATCCAGCACAAATTAGTCAATTATATATTCATTAAATGGTGATGTTAGTTAATGAACCTTCCCAACTATAATCAGAGAGACGATCACATACATTAAGAGTAATTTGCAAACCAAATACCAAAAGCGGGAAGAAGGAAAACCAAATGTTACATTACCAGTAATAAACTCCTCTAAGTTAAAATATAGAAAAAGTATATATATAAAAAAATTGCAGCTATGGAAACAAAAAATGCTTATATGGTGCTTACTGTTTGAACGACTGATATGGCAATTTAAAAGAATCACTAATCAGAGATGGCAGGGCTGAATATCATCCCACAGACTCAGATCACATCAGTCCCGAATAATCAACACAGAGGTTACACAGATCTGATTAGATCTGGTTATGGCACGAGGGACCAATGTTGCTGTGGTCCAGAGGCAAACGGGCAGCCTTGGAGGTGAGCCTCTGGTTCGTTGGGGAAATGGGCAAAGAGCTCCAGAGTTCAGACTCTTATAGATAAGTTGTTCCATCACTTCAGGCCAGACAGGAAAGAGAATGTGCCACGGAAGGGTTACCTCGAGGATGGGAACTGCCCAGAGACCAGAAGATGAGAAGCTGGCCGGGACATAGGAATGCCTCTGCTCAGAAGGTACGTGCCATTCTTTGAAGTGCTCTGTGCCAAAACGGGGGGCCCATGAGGCGAGGTGAAGACAGGGGCTCCGGGGCCACATATCGAGACTTAAATCATACCAAGCAGGCAGTCGTGAAACAGGAGAGCAGAAAACTCACATTTTACATTGAGAATTACACTGTCTATCCTGATGAACCTCATATCAAGCGAGACTGGAAAACACTCCTGTATTAATATTCATTTAAAAAACAAAACACTCCGTTTTTCTCAGTCACTAAGACTGTATGCTTCATATTGCAACTGTGTGTATGTCCTGCCCTCTTGTGTTCACTGGAGGTACTGACTGACAGTCAACATCTTCAAGGATGATGATGATCTGTCATGTGTCCATAGACACAAAAGACCACACATAGTTATACAGCTATAACCAATAATTATAACGGACAAATAAAATACAGATTAAAACAATAATAAATCACACTACTGAAAGCATAGCCTTTCTTGCTGCTTCCACGTACTGTATAGCCTCACTTGAAACAGAATTCATGCAAATTCTCCCCATTCAAGTAGCGTATCATGAGTGTTAAGTGAGGAACTGCAATACCCTGAAGGGAAGCTGTATGCACGCGAGCCGCAGCTGGTAAACAGCTCCCCGATCGGAGACGCTCCCAAGGAGAGACGCTCAGCGCACGTCACTTTCAGAAACACCACCAAACACCATGCCCACACCTACCACTGAGGACACCGAGGTCAAGTCCTCAGCATTTATTCCAATAACTATGATCCGATAACTATGATCCATTGCGGGGCACGCTCAGTAAGGGCTAACACCTTTGACTTCTATTTTTTAAATCCTGGCCCTCTATGACACGTTTACCTACGTCATGCCCTGCCGGTCAGCATGAGCCAGACAACGTGGGGGGGGTTCCTAAAACGGTGCAGGCTGTTCAGGGGAGGCTTTAAGTCCAAAGATGTCCTCCTGTAGCACACTGGCGCACTGGAGCACTGGAGGCGTACCGGGGGTCACCGTTCACCTTCAGTGGCTAAGAATTTCGGACATGTGACTAAGAGGCCAGGACTGTCTCCTCATTTAAGCGATACTCTTCAGCATGACTGACCCGTCTGACTTCCCTTAGCAGGCTACACGGAGCTATTCCTGACATGCATTCCTGTATCACCACAGAAGGAAAGCGAAGTGCAGGGGAAGAAATGCAGTGTAACGAAATGCAAAGAAAATAGCGGCAGACATCAAGACTGCCGTACAATAAGGGAGTTATTGCTGCATGATTATTACGTCTGGAAAGCAGCTGTGAGCTGCCTCAGCATCAAGAAGGGAGCGACTGGCTGGAATTCCACTCCGAACAAAGGATAACAACAAATAAAGACGGGCAGAGTGACTTTCTCCAACAGGATTTCAAATAAGAGTGCCAGTGACCGAAAGATATCACTGCTAATGATGTTAGTAGCAAAAACCGGGAAGGTTAGAACATGGAACTGGGAGCTGGAAACTGTAAGCTGCTAGATCTAAATCACATATAGCTACTGTCCAGCCGGGGGGGTCCTTTCCGGCGGCCCTACATGCATCTGCCCCTCCCTCCTACAAAAGAGGAGTGCAGGGTAACGCATGGCATGATGGGTAGTGAGTCAGTCCCAGTGTCAGGAAAGTCTGTCACACCTCCTGGTGACAAATTAAAATGTGGCACTGCTGCATCGTGCCTCCAGTGTCACAGGTTCTGGTTCCACCTGCAGCTTTTCATGCGACTGCTTGCCCCATGTTTAAATCCCCGCAGCAGTTTCTGGGAATTGGCCCATAAAATGCCTCGCAGCATGCAACATTGTGCCCCGTGATGGACTGGCATCCCGCCCAGGGTGTCCCCAGCCCTGTGCCCCGTGATGGACTGGCATCCTGCCCAGGGTGTCCCCAGCCCTGTGCCCTGTGATGGACTGGCATCCCGCCCAGGGTGTCCCCAGCCCTCTAGGGTCCCTGAAATGGGCTTCAGACTGGCCCATCACCCTGCATTGGGTAAGCAGTCACAGGACATGGATGGATGGTGTCACAGCAAATGCTTAACGATCTGCCCAGATATTTGTTCATAGAGAAGGAGGTTAGGTGGCGTGTGAGAAGGATCCTGGGATGACAGCAAAGCACAGGCTGTACTCACGCCGGCCAAGACGGCGCGCTCACATCCGTCAGCCATGGGAATTCAGTTCCTGCTGGAGTGTTTTCGATCACGCTTGAATGAGGCTTAGGGATCAGCTGTGTCTTGTTATTCTAATTCCAAAATGACAGGAAACAAAGAATTTAGCAAACTTTTCTCACTGGGAGTTCCACGCACCCACACCAGCTTTTATAGATCAGCATCTTAACAACAAAAGGAGCATTTTACGACACACAACAAACGTAAAGTGATTGTCTGAGCTGCAATTTGGGCATAGCTGAGGTCTTCCAACCTCCAGTAACCGCAAAGAAAAGCATGTTTCTGGTTATTTAAAATGGAAAAAATCTGCTTATTTTCCATAACTATTCCAAGGACATCAACCATAAACAAAAACAAAATATGCAAAAAACATGGAATTAGCATAAAATGTGTGGTAATATTGTTTACAAATAAATTATTGTCAGTGAGTGTGCCTTGAAGTAAATAATGATTTTTTGATTTGGTCTTGTTCTGTTTGTTGAATACAAAAAATCTCCATTTTATTTTAATCAAATTAATTATCACACTGGCCTGTCACCGGCTGGCCTTTCACGGGCTGGTCTGTCACCGGCTGGCCATTCACGGGCTGAACTGTCACGGGCTGGACTGTCACGGGCTGGCCTGTCACAAGCTGGTCTGTCACGGGCTGGCCTGTCACCGGCTGGCCTTTCACGGGCTGGCCTGTTATGGGCTGGTCTGTCATCACAAGCTGGTCTGTCACGGGCTGGTCTGTCACGGGCTGGTCTGTCACGGGCTGGTCTGTTATGGGCTGGTCTGTCATCACAAGCTGGCCTGTCACGGGCTGGGTGAGGGGTGGCCATGCCAGGGCAATACAGCCCACAGCTTCTACCTTGTGGGGATTTTATACATTAAAAATAAACACCAGAAGAGGCAAACACTGGAGGAAGATACATACTTTTTCATGATTTTCTTAAATTCCATGAATGAGAACCTCTACACGTCCAACTTCCCGGTCCGGATTTGTGGCACGAACAAAGAAGTTAGACAATCAGGAAAGGGGAGAAAGTGAAACTGAGACAGACCCATAAGAATTTGTATTTCCCAGTACAGATCAGCTGTGTTACTAAAGGTTGACAGGGTTCACCTGCCACGACTCATCCTGATAAACCATGAGCTCAGGGAGGCAGTGGGAGTGTGTTTGTTATGCCCAGATAGTCCCTGGGTGGTCTGTATGACACACAAACATGGAGGGAGACACATACTCTCTCTCACACGCAGAAGCACCAGGAATATCAGAGCAGCCTTTTAGTGTGAGCCTACCAGAATAAAAATGGGGGATGGGGGCATCCCAGTGCTCCCAGTAAAGCGGTGGGTTCACAGGAGATGGCAGATGTAAGGGAGGTATACACGCCACAGCCTGGGGTTTAGGGAGTGGGGGGGGGGGGGGAAGCCTGCACGTCTGTCTCGGGATGAGACTGCTGACTCACATCCAGAAATTTCTATTTACATTTTTTAGTTGCTTGGATGATGTATTTGTCCAAAGCAAATTACAGTTTCACCCATTCAAACATCTGGATATCTTACTGGAGCGATTCGAGGCTCTTCCGGGCCTTGAGCTGGCCTCCTTTGGGTTACCAATCCTCACCCCAAATGACATCCACAGTTGATTCATAGACAAACACTCCATTCAGGGTTCTCTCTCACGGCCAGAAGATGCCGTCAGGCCGTCCCCGAACTCCCGTCACACTCATGCGGCCACACCACTGGGCAGAGAAAGCCCTCAGCCCCATTGTTATAAAAACACTCTTTTACTTGGTTATCTATTAAGAATCTGCTTCTTCATAACCTACATTGTAAGTTACACTCATCTGCAGCAGAACACAAAGGGCTCATTCAGCAGGAATGGCCAGATCCTCTAAGAATAGTAACAGACGCTCAAACAGGCTTTGTTGTGTTAAAAAAAATAATTACATCATGTAGGACTATGAGGCAATATTCTTCATGGAGTTCATTGGTTTAACATGAGGAGTGTGTGTGTGTCTGTGTGTCTGTGTCTTTATTATGTTTATATTACATATTACAATGTAACAAAAGCCTGTTATTTTGATGTTGTGGGGACCATTTTTCAGGTCCCCACAAAGATCTGTGAACGCAATCAAAAAAGTTAAAATGCCAAAAGTCTCATAATGTGTTTGGTCACTCATGGTTAAGGTCAGGGCTGGATAGGGGTTAAGGTCGTCATGTTGGATTAGGGTTACGTCCATAGAAATGAATGGGCAGTCTCTACAAAGATATGAATAAAAACGTGTATGTGCGTGCATGCATGTGTGTGTGTCCATGTGTATGTGTGTGTGTGTGTGTGTCCATGTGTGTGTGTGCGTGTGTGTGTGTGCATGCATGCGTGTGTGTGTGTTTGTGCGCGTGTGTCCATGTGTATGTGTGTGTTTGTGTGTGTGTGTCCGTGTGTGTGTGCGTATGTTTGTGCATGCATGCATGTGTGTTTGTGTGTGTGTGTCCATGTGTGTGTGTGCACGAGTGTGGGTCCGTGTGTACTGTATGTGTGTGTCCGTGTGTATGTGTATGTGTGTGTGTGTGTGTGTGTGTGTGTGTGTGTGTGTATGCGTGTGCGTATGTGAGCACAGGCACAGCTTTCTGGCTTTTCATTTGCTCTCCAAACATGACATGCAGGACAAAAGCGCACTTTGTGGAGCCTCTCATCCTTCATTCTGATAATCTCTCCTCTCCCTCTCTGCCAAGTTCTCTTTTTTCATTTTATCCATATCACCCCACCCCCCCGCCAAGCCCCCCGCCACCCAGGTCAGCCCTTATTTCACTCGCCTGCCTCCATCAGGAACAGCTATGGCCACCGTGGGTCAGTGAAACCCTTTGCAAAAGCCAGGAGCCTATGTGCCGCATTCCGTGCCGGGGACTCCAGGTTACTAGCCTCTCCGAACCCAGGATCAGAATTTTATCCAGATGCCAGCACTGGCGACCACACTTTGCTCGCTGATCCTCCATCTATACCTGGCATGCAAATGCTCCAGCTCACCAGCAGGGGCACTATACCAGAGTTGAACTCTACTCTGTGGGGGGGAGGTTGAGAGTACATCACTGAGCAAACCAGTTCAACTGTTTTTGTTTCACTGTGTCCCTCGGCCCTTCCCGGCCCTTGCCCCCGCCCACACCCCTCTCCCGAGCGTTTCAGCTAAGCGACCCTCCTCTTCCGCAGTCTGATGGCTCTCGGAGACTTCGGCCATCTCCGCCTCCTAGTGCTGGCATTCTGCCAAGCTTCTCTGGTGGATTGGAGGCCTGTCCCAACAGCATAAATGCCAAACCCCACCCAGGATAAGCAAACCCTACCTAATAATAACAGCCACACAGAATCTGGTTTAAAAAAAAAAAAAAAAAAAAAAAAACTCGGAAAACACAATGCATCACTGATGTCAACGGAGCCCAGGTTCAGGTGCAGGCCACCTGGATCAGCCAGAGCCTCAGCCCTTCAGCACTCCGAGCTGCTGTATGATAGTCTGTCTATGACTGCACTCATATCTGATGTGTAACAAATGCGCGATGTTCCTACACAAGCCTGGGGGTGGGGGGGGGGAGATGAGAACCGAGGTCATCCAAAAGTTTTCACAATCTTACAATAAACCAGACCTTTATTTTGACTTACCCTTGGTGCAAAAAAGTGATGTGCTTCTAGGTAGGTCACGGTCATTCAGCCGGGCGACATATTTCAAATATCAATATTAACTGAAAGCTTTGCTAACGTGTATGAAACATGCAGCCACAGTAAAAGATTTGATATTTTCCTGACAAAACTTGGCCCAAGTGAAAAATCCCATGTACTTGGTCTCCCACCTGCTGCAGCACCTGCTTCCACCAGTGGGGTCTGGAAGAAGGGCAATAACACATATTACCCTTATATGTGTGAGAATTACAGCCGTATGGACTGGGACCACACTGGCAGAGGGACGCCGAACTCCAGAGAGAAACGTCAATGAAAAGAAAAGCCCAGTAAACATGCAGGAAGCAATCATTATGAAGACTGGAACGTGCCAGAGAAGCGAAGACGCCCAGTTAGGCAGCACTGGCAGGCTGGGTAGGGGGCCACCATCCAAGGAAGCGAAGACGGCCACTTAGGCAGCACTGGCAGCCTGGGTAGGGGGCCACCATCCAGGGAAGCGAAGACGGCCACTTAGGCAGCGCTGGCAGCCTGGGTAGGGGGCCACCATCCAAGGAAGCGAAGACGCCCAGTTAGGCAGCGCTGGCAGCCTGGGTAGGGGGCCACCATCCAGGGAAGCGAAGACGCCCAGTTAGGCAGCGCTGGCAGCCTGGGTAGGGGGCCACCATCCAGGGGGCAGACAGCATGGCTGCAGTTCTGTTTGGATGGATTTGGGGACAGTGGGGTAACGAGGGACTCCGCTCCTCCTTCTATAATCACCATGCAGCGGCAGCCGTTTATATGCAGACCTGCCATCCAAATGGGCCCCAGGCCCCAAGATTTGGACAGAAATATTGGGACACACCTCTCAATCACTGAATTCAGGTGCTTCATTCAGACCCATTGTCAGAGGTGTATAAAATCAAGAATGTAGCCATGCAGTCAGGATTAGAAACATTTGTGAAAGAATGGGTCGTTCTGAAGAGTGCAGTGAATTCAAGCATGGTACTGTCATAGGATGCAATAAGTCAGTTTGTGAAATTTCTTCCCTGCTAGATATTCCATGGTGAATTGTAAGTGGTATTATTGCAAAGTGGAAACGTTTAGGAACAACAGAAACTCAGCCACAAAGTGGCAAACCATGTAAAGTAACAGAGTGGGCTTGCTGAGGTGGATAGTGCATAAAAGTCCCCAACACTCTGTTGACTCAGTAACTGCAGAGTTCCAAACTTCCTCTGGAATTAACCCCAGTACAAAAATTGTGCACCAGTAGTTTCATGGAATGGGCTTCCCTGGCCGAGCAGCTGTATGCAAGCCTCACATCACCAAGTGCAATGCCAAGCGTCAGATGGAGTGGTGTAAAGCACGCCACCACTGGACTCTGGAGCAGTGGAAATGCGTTCTGTGGAGTGACAAATCATGGACATGATGGACATGTCTGGATGTGGC